CCCCAAAACCCCAAAACCCCAAAACCCCTTGATATCTAAATCATTACTAGAGTAATGAGTGTGATAAAAAGATCAACTAATAAAATAATAATTAAATTATTTAAATAGAATAGTATTGGGATATATAATGGGGTAAGAGCACAGCAAAAACAACTCTTCATCATATTAGCAGGAGTATAAGAAGGGTCCACAATTTTGTAACAATTATCTAAGTTTTATATAATCTAGAATCCATGATGGATGCTTTGGACTATTACGGCAGCGACAAGGCACGTATAGACCTTCAAAATAAGGAGATATCGGGGAAGAAATCAATAGCAAAGTAGTCGATGATAAAGCAAAAGAGTAATAAAGTCGACAAGAGAAACTAGAGTGAATTTGACCTCTCAAAGTACCAATATGACCCTAAAGCAAGTCAAATTGTGAGAGGGTCAACATTTGGGTCCAAGAACAATAATGGGTACAACCCCAAATTCGGCAAAACCAACATGCTTGTCAGAAATTTAAGTGTAGAAGATAGAGGAGCACTAGGCAGTCCTGAGATTGCTCGCAGATAAAAGCTATTATCATCTTTAGGAATATGTAATTTATTATATTTAAATAATTATTCCTGTAGAGGGCAATAAGACAAATAATGATCAATAAATCAAAAAGACATCATAGTATAAAATCTCAAATATAGACAAAGAGCCAATCCCGCTAAATGACGATTTGGTGTGTTCAGATCACTTTGACCGTCATTTCTCTACACACATTGAAGGAGAAAACTTTTTCGATTAGTTGTTTGAAAATCAAGAAACTTAGCACAATCATAATTAGAATTGCTCGCATCATAAACATCTCAGTGGGAATAACAATGGGATCTAAGCAAGATCTTTTGATAATAGTACCCTTGCGCCTGATTCATTATAAGTTTATCAATAGCATTTGCCTGAGTCTTAAAGTTTAGCAACTCCTGACAAATTTCCAGACATTTAATAGGCATCTGGGGCAAAGGAGATCAGATCGCTTTCATTTGATCTTAAAGAAGGACAAGATGATGAAATAGTAAAGGGGATTGACAAAGCTCGTAAATTAACTACACTTAATGCGGTTCCCTTTGAAATGAACTTTGATGAATCTGTTTAGTAATTGAAAGCAGAAGAACTTAGAAAAATGGAATCAGAATAGTCTAATGTAGATTTCCTTATCGATGAAACAGAGATGAGAATGCAGTAAAGCCAAGACATAGAAAATCTCATACACTAAGAGCTAGAGCTTAATACCGAGGCTCATGACATCTAGGTCGGTGTATAAGACCCTTCCCGAATGAGAATGAAGTATCTGTAGAAGTTAACGAAGGAGTAAATTTGGATTCCTCCCCTAATGCAGCCTAAGGCGAGTTAAAACGTTATAATATTTGATTGGGACGATACCCTTTTCCCGACTACCCATTTGAATCCAGTGGACGAGATGTCTTATGATTATCTTTTTGAGAAATACCGATAATAACTGAAAGAGATTGAGGAAAATGCTATCACACTTCTTAATAACTGTCTCAAGGAATCTAAGGTAGTCATTGTGACTAATGCCAAAAAAGGTTGGGTGGAGTTCTCATCAAGTCGATTCATGCCAGATCTCCATAAGATAGTCATGAAAAAGGTTAAGATAGTCTCAGCTAGAGTGCTATTTGAGGATAAATTCCCTTATGACACCTTTAAATGGAAGGAACTCGCTTTTGCATAGCTTTGGGATTTAGATGGATTCTTAGACAAAGCAGCCATTACAAATTTAGTGGCAGTGGGAGATGCCGAATACGAAATGGAAGCTGCTAAGAACTTTGCCAGCTTGAGTGATAGATGCTTGATTAAGCTTGTGAAGCTGAGAGAATGCCCCTCATTTGAAGAACTTAGAAAGGAACTTGCTGTAGTCAATGATAAGTTTGGCTACATTTTCTCATCATTCAAAAATCTCACTATAAAGTTGGAAAGGTAAGAATAAAAATAATTAAATAAATATCTTTGTAGAATAAAACCACAAGAGGGTCAGTCTTAATGAGAAGTACTTATAATCGTTTGTAGAATCTTAAATAATTCCAACCATCTCAATATGCACTTATATTAAGCTATCAATATTTATTAAACATTACTGTAATTTACTCTCTTTATTACCTCTAGGGGTTTTGGGGTTTTGGGGTTTTGGGG